ATTTGTGTCCTATTGTTCTCCACGTGTGTGAAATGCTGTTGTGATTAATAAATCACAACTTGTGTAACAGCTCTAAGGAAGCTAGTTGATTTTTCTTTACTCTTCAGTTGGTACTAAAAATATAACTGCTATCTTGTGGGAGAATCAATGAAATTTTGACATTAAAAAGAAGTCTTTATATTAATACTTGAAATCCTTGGTAACCACTTCTCTGTGTAGACCTTGAAGGATTGGGGTGAAAGTCAACTAATTCTACTATGTTTGAAGAATCTCTAAAAATAGGACTAGGTGTCTTGCCTGAGACTCACTGTTAGTTTCCAGAACCTCGGTTTTCCATGAGAGAAAGCAGTGCCTCGTTTTTTTGATTCAGTAACACTCAGTGTGCTAGACGCTGGCTTAGGTAGACACTAAGAGTGTCAACAATGGCCTTTACCATCAGAAACCTCAGGAGGAAACCAATGGAAGGTCTGAGTCGTTCACCGGAGCTCTAGGGGTGAGAGGTGTGGGGTAGTACCACGATCACCCCTAAGCTCATTCGCTGAAGTGAGGTGTGTGGGACTGGCCACAGGACTTCTACACCCTTGCATTACTGATCCCTGGACAAACTTTTCCAACTCTTGATACTGGGCCCAGGTGGTCTTTTTGTTTAAGCAAGTGCTGGGCTTCATGCATAGAAATGAGACTGATAGGAATTTCCATGACTTAAGAGCATTGTCATGCTCTCCAGGCAGGAGTGGAACGGAGCAGAATATGAAGATGTAAACTGGCTTCCTTGGCATGAGGAAACAACACAGCATCTAGAGATGATGAGATTGGCTGACAGCCTGCAGATTCTGTTTCTGTTTCAGATTTTGGGCAGTTTCTGTTCTCTAGGCTGGAAAAATCTTTGATCTTTCTGACTAAGGAATAGACGGTTCAGGCTGGAAAAATCTTTGATCTTTCTGACTGAGGAATAGACGGTTCAGGCTGGAAAAATCTTTGATCTTTCTGACTGAGGAATAGACAAATCACAGGGGAAAATGGGCATTTTTTTTTTCTTGAGAAAAAAATGCACCTTCTGGATACAGATACAATTTTTGCACTTTTCCCATATTGGGAAAATTTCTCTAGACCAGTGCTTCTCAAACCTGAATTAGCATATAAATAACTGAGAGATCTTGCTGAAGTGTAGGTTAGGTTCACTTGGTCTAGGCCAGTGCCCGGAATTCTGTGTTTCCAACAAGCTCCCTCCTAAGTGATGCTGAGTTTGCTACAATATTGCTGGACTGAGAGTGGTGCTCTGAGGAGCAGAGACCTGGAATCTGCGTGGAAGCCTAGATCCATGGGAACTGGCCTCATCTATTTGGTGGGAGGCATTGATCCCTGTTTCTGATGCAGTTGTATTCTGCAGTCACTACATTGTCTGTAGTGGTGTTTCCTTCTCTCAAGGTTCTTAAGTAGTCAGAGATATAGCTTTAGAGTATATATTGGTTGCAGTGCTTAATCATTAAAAAAATCTTTGTTGTGCTTTGGAGTACTACATCTTCTTTAAGGCACAGTGCTAGCAGTTGCTGTCTTGCACAATCAAGGCCTGTTTGATCCCCCATCATTACAAGGCATTGCCTTAACCCATAGGTCTTGAGTGTCTCGCATATGTTGAGGGTAGTCCACCATAGTAAATTCTGCTGTGGAGAGCTTGGCAATCTAATCATAGAATGTTAAACTTGTGTTATGTTCAGTGATTTGATCCTGCAGCTGTATCTAAGATGGACAGGCTGCAGAATAAATCTTTGAAAGGTGCTATATCCATTGATTATATTCTGGACATCAAATTTAGTTGTCATCAGATATAGCTTGTCATTTGAGCGTCCTGGTTTAAAAACTATTACAAAAATCGATCCATTTTGATGTTTTGTCCCTTTTGAGCTACTTCAAATGGGTTCTCTTAGAAAGAAAGAAAAGGTTAAAAGCTCATCCAAATTTATACTCAAAGGTGATTTCAGGAAAATTGAGGCTTCATATCACAGTATGTGCTTATAAGCACTAATCCTTTGTTCAGTGCACTGCATCCCAGGCCAGTGAATGACTTCTTCATCTGGTGGTGGTGGTTTCTAATGAAAAAATAATCATGTAGCATAGACGAAACCAATCTTCCAAAATTGTTTTAAAGTGGGTTGAAAGAGTGGCTCACTTAAGGTCTCTGATTTCTTCATTTATTTTGTAGGTCACATTCCATCCCTGCAACATTCCATGGGTCTGTCAGCAACTTTGATTGAAGCAGAAAGTTATCAAATATCCTGATGAGGGCTTGGAAGGGTCCCTGCTGTTAAGGAGTTTTGTTGGTATTTATCTTCATCAGATTTGGCTGATACGTCTCTTACTCATAGAACTTGAGAGGGAAAGATCAGCTAGCCAACTTAGAATCTAGTCCAACCAACTCATTTTACTGATGTGGAGACAGCTGGGAAGTTTGCTCAAGGTCACCCAGACCTGTCTCTGAAGTCCTGGGCTTCCCCCCAACCCCTGATCTACCACATGCTTTTGTATGTTGATTTATGGATGTGACATGTCTGTGTTTTCTACCTTCCCTGATGGGAATTGGGGTGGTTCCACTGATACATTCATTGCATTTCCATACCATCTAGACCCTGTGTCCTATCAGGGTCGCAGTAGGTTCACCAATGCTCTACAGAGGCAAAATGACACAGAGCCCAGATTCTGCAGCCTGGTGGTCTAGGTCGGATCCTGCTTTGCTCCGTACATGTTTTGTGACTTTGGGCAAGCCACTTAACCTCTCTTTAGATATAAAATGGGGACCTTCCTTGTAGGGCAATTGTGGAGACTGAATGAATGAATACTACAGAACAGCTGGAGCAAGCAGCCAGATGTGTAGTATGTGGAATTGTGTGTGGTTTTGCAAACTATGGATCTCTACTAGGCATTGAGCTGTGAAATCAGTGTTCTGAATCATTAATAGCATTCTAGAAAGTAAATGGCAATACTAGAATTAAATAGTCAAGAGTGCTGCATCTATGCAGGGCATTATTTGGTGTTCTTTTGGTTCCTTTTTTGGTTTCCCTTTGATTTCGTGTGTGTGTGTGTGTGTGTGTGTGTGTTTGTAAAGTGACTCACAGTGTGAAAATGAATTTCTCACTGTGGATTGCACTCAAGAGTTTGGAAGTCATGCTCCAGAGATTGGAATGAGTGAAGTGATTTCTGTACATGCAGACCTATCGGGGTGAATGAGGCACATGTTAGACATGAATGTACAAGGCAAGCTCTGACTGAAACATAAACGTGCTTCTTTTGCAGAGGGAGACCAAAGGGCAGTTTCTTATTGACCACATCTGCAACTACTACAGTTTGCTGGAGAAGGACTACTTTGGCATTCGTTACGTGGACCCAGAGAAGCAGCGGGTAAGAGTTGACCACGATCTAGATCCATTTTGGGGAGGCACTCAGCCTTTGAGGGTGCTGAATAGGTTCTTCTTAGAGCAGCTGTAATGCATTTGACCTCATAATTATTGATCACATGGTTATTGACCAGCCCAGGAGAATCCCACGGACAGAGGAGCCTGTCGGGCTACAGTGCATGGGGTCACAAAGAGTCGGACACGACTGAGTGACTGAATATACTGTATTCCTGTTCGTGGACACATGCATCCTTCCTGGCCTCTGTTGGTGCATGAGTAAGTCTTGCTTTTTGAGCAGGGGTATCAGTCTAAGAGTGTTCAGGTATGACATCTGCCAAACTCACAGTGATATGTGTCCCTCACATTGAAAAGACCCCAGGATTCTCCATCCCAGCTCCTGCCACCTAGGGCTTCTCATTCCTGCATGGGTCCCAGCCATGCCTAAAAAGGCCCTGTATCTGCTCCAGCCTCTGCTCTTACCCTGCCCTACTGATAAGCATGGCAGTGTGTGAAGGAATCAGCTGGGGGTGACTACCCTTTTTAATTTGCTCTCCTCCTTACCGGTGGCCCTGGTCATCTTCCTATTTCTTTTTCCCCTCCTAGTTCTTGGACCTTATACAGTGAGGGAGAGGCTCACAGAGTGTATTTTTGTGAAGGAGGAGGATATTGAAGGGATATATTAGTTTTCTGAAACATGGAGAATCTTATTTGCGTTTCAGTAGGACCTTATCTTCTATAAAGGGATATAAGACAGTGGCTCAGAAGAAAGAGATTTTGGTTTCCTGTAGCGCTTGCAGGAACCCTTGAATGAACCAAGTATTTACCTGAGTGAGAGGAAGGTAGCAGGACGCTGTGAGGATGTGGGGCTGCTATGAGATCATGGAGGGGAATATGGTGTTTACTGTTGAGTAACAGTGACTCCCAGACTAGCCCTGCAACTAACTCAGTTTAGGTGTTTGCTAAAATCGGTTAGTATGGACCTTATTCTAGACCTCCTGAATCAGAATTCCTGCGGCTAGGGCCAGGAATAGGTATTTTAATTCATCTTGATTCTAATTTTGATGCAGCCTTCCTAGCTTTGACTTCTGACCAGTGTTGGAAACTATGGCATAAAGACATTCATAGACATAATTTCTTATGGTCTATGAAGATATTATTCTTGTATGGAGACAGTTCAAACCTATGTCTCTTGCGTCTCCTGCATTGGCAGGTGGATTCTTTACCACTAGCGCCACCTGGAAGCCCCATGGAGAGAGAAACCGGCTCAAAAACATTGTTACTTGCCCAAGTAGTGAGTAGCGAAGTGATGAAGTAAGGGTATAGGTAGCGAGTGATGAAGTAAGTACTTGAATTTAGAATTATGGTTCAGAGCTCCCCTGGCCACACAGACTCTATGAACATCATCAGTCATCTAACCACTGCTATTTTTATGCAAAATTAACAGCCTACCTGCAGAAGTAATTCTAGCTACCATTATTTGAGCATTTATCATATGTCAGGAATTTTACTCATAAGGTCTTTAGTCTTCCCCAGAACACTTCAAGGAAGGGGGAAACTGAGGAACAGAGATACAGTCACAGCTAGTAATTGTAGGAGGAAGAACGGGATTTAAAACCACACTATTTCCATTTTATCTTTCAAGTGAAAATTTGAAACACAGCCTAAATTAGGAACCTATGAATCTTTTTGGTAAGGGGCTATACAGAAAATATTTCCAGCTTTATTTGGTGACTGATAAAACTTCTGTTGCGGTTCTTAAGTAATTAAATTATAATGGAACATGGCCATAGACAGTACCTAAAGTAGTGGATGTGTGTGTGTTCGAGTAAAACTTTTTCTCCAGTGAAAGTATTTCACAAAAAAGACAATTGGCCATGGTTTGCTGACGCTTGGCCTAGACAATCACTGAATGTCACTTAAATGCATTAGCCTTGTTTGTCCCTCTTAACCCTCTCACTGGGGAGATACTGGATAAAACATTAATAAACAAAGTCTTTTGAATTGGACTCAGATATACATATGAATTCATGTTCTTAAATATACATAGATAAATACAGAAATAAAGATGTATGTGTATTAAGGTGGAGGGCTAGTATGTATATGTATATTTCCACGTTCCATCCATGGAGGTGGCTTAGAGGCAATGTACCACAGTAGTAATGAGCACACCTAGCTCTCAGATCTTGGTTTCAAATACCACGTTAATAAAAGGAAGGAGAGCTTCTTGCGGAAATGGCTGATTCTAGAGCCAGTATAGGGAAATAACAAGGTGAGCCTGGAGCATCATGTGGCACCAGGAAATTAAAAAAAAAAATACTCAAAAACCCAAAATGTGGAGCACTAGGAAAGGCACTGAGCCAACGTGAAAGAACTGCCAGTGACCAGAACTGAAACGACTGAAGTGACCAATACAGTAATAGTATTGAATTATAATCCTTAGAATAAAATAAATACTCATGAGTCCATACTGATATAAATAAATAACTGAATAGATAAATAAAAGCGGGAGAAGTGGTAGCTCTTCCTTACAGAGCAGTTCCAATTAATAAATATAGAGAGCATGAGAGAAATAAAAAGTCAGTATTAGAGTGCTAAAATAATAATTGCTATGGGCAAGATCCATTGACCAATGCTAAAATTAGTGGACAAAAGTTTGAGGAGAATCAAGATATTTGTGCAGTCTCAAGGTATCCTTTCCCCTAACCCACCCTCAGCCTGGTATTTTTTTAATTACAAGAGGAAAAAGAATAACTTTATAGTGGAGAAACTTAGCAGACATCACTTTAACCAAGCAATCAGGATTAACATCAGCAATAAAAAGCCTTGCCAACATCATGGACTCCCAGATACCAAGCACTGAGAAGGGCACTCTTTCTCTGCGGTATTCTTTGCAATAATGCATAATTTCATTCAATTCTTGAGGGAACATCAGACAAACTAAAGGGAGAGACATTCTCCAAAACAATTCACCCGCACCCTTCAAGAATGTTCAGGTCATGAAGGACAAGGAAAGATTGGGAAACTCTCACAGATTAGAGAGCTGCATCAACTAAGACAATGTGGAATCCTGAACTGGATACTGGAACAGAGAAAAGTGTAGGAGTGGGAAAACTGGTGAACTCCAGGTTAAGTCTGTAGCTTAGTTAATAATATTGGGTTAATATTAGTTTCTTAATTTTGATAATTGCTCTATGGCTATATAAGATGCTAACACTAGAAAAAGATGAGGCACGTTTTCTGTATGTCTAAAATTATTTTTTTAACTTGAAGTTTCTGGGTTGATGTGCTTGTTGTTGTTTATATTTTGGTGTGGCTTAGCTTAATTTTTAGTGTCCAGATTCAGGTAGTAGATTAGTGGAAAAAATAAGGGCCATTCCAAAACAAAACCATCTTCTCTGATGTATTCACTAAATTGCTTAGAAGGCTGCCTGAATAATTCTGTTTTTCCTGTAGTTTAGCTGTTATTGCCTTTTGATTTTTGAGGAGGCAATGTGAATGTAACTTCCACATGGATTGCAGAGTAGTTACTATTATATGAACTTTGTACTCAGAAAGAGGCTTGGACTTTTTACTTAGATGCTTGGACTTTGTAATCACATGGATGCAAATTAAATCCCGTCTCTGTTGGTTAATAAGTGTGATCTTGACCAAGTTATGAGCTTTTCTGAGTCTTTGTCCTGATTGTTCATATAGATAACAACACCTACATGTGAAATTGATATGGGAATTAGATATGATATGTAAATACTTAATAAATGATATATATAGAGTACATAGCATGTGTTATTTTTATTATTGATTGTTATTATTACTATTACTATGCATTAGCTGGGCTTCCCAGATGGAGCTAGTGTTAAAGAAATCGCCTACCAATGCAGGAGACATAAGAGACGTGGGTTCAATCCCTGAGTCTGGAAGATCCCCTGGGGATGGCATGGCAACCAACCCACTCCAGTATTCTTGCCTGGAGAATCCCATGGACCGAGGATCCTGGCAGGCTACAGTTCACAGGGTCTCAAAGAGTCAGACATGACTGAAGCGACTTAGCATCCTTGTACACATGCATTAGCTAGGTCTAGGTGAGGCAATTACATGAGAAAATACAGCCATGATTGGCAAGCCTAAAACCTAGAAATGTTAATGATAACTTTTTTCAAAGGCAGATGGCCATTATTATGATCTTTGGGGAGAGAAGAGGGAGGAAGAGAACCTTGAATAATTAGAAAAAGGGCTCAAAGACACAGTGATATGCTGATATGAGAATCTTAAACAGAGATTAGTTGACAAACGTTAGTTTGTTTTTTGTTTGTTTTTAACCAGCTTGTGTGCCTTTTCTCCATGGAAAATATTGAATTATTTAGATAGAAAGCTAACCAAGAAAAAATCAAGTTAGTTAGAAAGGCTGATGTGGAACTTATTCTGCTGTGGGAGGTGGTGGTTTGCCTACCACTCTTCACAATTTGATTTACAGTACACTATTGTAGAATATTAAATATTTAGCACTATTACATTTGGAATACCATATGTTTGACAAGATGTCTTGTGTCCCATATGCTGTGAGAGTGGTGAGGTCTGAATCAGTAAATGATGACTATCTTTACTATTTAATAGCAAAGGCCCAGAATTTCCATTATTTTAAAATATTGATGTAAGAAGGGACAAACTGATACTGGTCAATAAAACCCTCTCTAATGCCTACCACATTTATCTTCTAAAGAACTCATATAATCTTAGTTGCCTAAGATTAGGAAGAAATTGAGTAGTATTCTCCTCATTTACTGAAAGAGAAAGCTGAGACAACAAGTGTGGAAAGTCTTGGGAGAAATAATTCCAGAAGAAAAAGATCTTATTTGGCTTATCCAAGTATTTTTTTCTTAAATGTAGTGCAGTCTTTCTACCACTTCTGCTCTGGTGCTGAGGTAACTTCTCTTTGGAAAGATGAAGTTTTGAAATAATTAGTTGGTTTTCGTAATTCTACTTCTGTGGCTTTGATTTGTTATGTCC